GTGTACTGATCTGCCAAGTATTTGTGGTTGGCGTCGAGGTGTTCCCCGTCCTATGACAGACATGTGTCCTTAGCTCCAGGGGTACCTCCACTCTGAGGGGGCCGAGTGCCCTTAGATTCGAGGGAGCCAAGTGTCCTTGGATCCAAGGGTACTCACAAACTCCGATCCTGCCTCGTGTCTCCTGCTCCTGGAAATGCTACTGATTGACAACTAACCAGCCCCCCACTAGACTAGCCATCATGAAGGTACTCTGCACAATGCTGTCAGAATGTCTGGGCAAACAAGACATTCAACCAAGGGGAGGCGGACACGTTTCACACAATGCAGGAATAGTGGTAAAAAGACATAAATACCCCCTGCTGATATGCAGTTATCACGGGCAAATATTTAATGGATTCTCAGTTGATGAGACATCTACTACAGCTTAAGAAGCCGAGAAGTAAAAGCATTAAATGCTCAGAGATCCAAGCATTTAATACCACTACATTGAAAAAAAAGAGCATTAAGTGCTCGGCTGGCCAAGCAATTTATACTGGGACTTTTCCCATGTAAAATAGGAGGCACACTGCCCCATCTCTAAAGGCTACCTATTGCCTAAACTACCAATAATGATGAGTCTGAGAAAGTATAAATAGTCCTCAAAAACACATTTTAAAGGAACGTAAAATCACCTCTGAAGAGTCATACATTGTTTTCTTATTCTTCTCTCTCAAAGAACTAACTTGATCGTCAGAAGAGATATGTCAAAAAATACTTCAGCGCCCTTCTAACTTGTTTCTTTGTGTGTCAGGAGCATCTTGCGACCCATCGGAATCAGTTGGACATTCCCTAGAACAATTCATCACCACTCTTTAGGCCCCCTTTGACCCTCTCAACACATTCCTTACTACGGGATCCACCACCTCAACAAACACAAGTTCACCAAGAGAGTGATTTGTTCACGTTTCATTCATTGTGTAGAAATTAGTGCTCACACCCCCCAAAAAAAATACTTAATTTCAAGAAAGAAATCTACATCGATGCTCCGATAAGACCATTGTAGATGGGAAAACACATCCCACCATCAATGTTGTACCACAATAAAGCACTTTGGATGCAAAACAACGCTGATGCTTCAGAGAGGTTGTCTTACACATGAATAGTTTTTGTATACATAAATTAATAAAATATATTAGTTATATGTGTATTTGAATTAAATATCGTCTCGATTAATCAAATTTAATTTTTCATTACTCATATTCTATTATTAGATTATGAAATTTTTAAATGTTCTCAAAATTCTTTATTCTAACTATTAAAAAAAAAGATAAAAAAAATATTTAAAGTCTAATTTTTTTTTTAGAATTTTTTGATTAAGTTTGATTTTTTAGTGATGTTTAAAAAATTAAATTTTTTGAAATTTATTTGATTAGGATTCCATTTATAATTCCTTAAATTAAAATAAAAGTAGTTGTCAATATACTGATTACATTGAAATTGTATTGTAATTAAGAATTAATTAAGTCAATTGTGGTAAGATTTAATATACTACTCTGTAATATATATTATCAAGTATATTAAAATTCTAAAAATTCAAATTTTACTTAAAAATATACTAAAATATCTATTTTTATATAAAATTTTAATACAATTTAGAAAGTTTATTATGACTAAAAAATTATTCTGAAGTCACATAAATTGATTTTAGAAAATTATATAAAAGATTATTTTTTATCTTAAAAATTAAAAGGTTAAACTTTTAGATGAAAAAAAAAAATACATATGTAAGCATAACATTATCTTCACATATGATATGAGTAATATTAAATTGATAAAATTTTTAAAGGTCAATAATGCATATTCTTTTTTAAAGATAATATAGTCAATCAAATTTTTTTATAGAAACTAATATTTATATATAGAGAATAGATAATTAAAGAATGGTAAAATACAGATTTAAAAAATTTTCATCATAAAATACTTTTATTAGTAGTATAGAATAGATATAGATCTAGAATATAGACCATTTCATTTGCATCAACTGTGCTAGGAATGTTGGCATAGGAATGTCACTTATATTTGGTTTCTATTTTTTCCCTTGTTACCTATATCAGTTGGAAGACTCTTTGTTCTCTCACGTACCTTTTCCACTATATTCCTTTTAATAAAATTATTGTTTACTATCCAAAACTAACAAGACAATGTAAAAACAGGGCAGTCTATCATTATTTACGTAAAAGTGTGGTGTGAACTCACATTTTTTAATGTAAAAACGTGTTTACGAAATACACTTTTCATAAAAGAACCTCCAAAGCATTTTTTACAAACAACTTTTACATCGAAAAACACTTTCATGTAAACAACAACTGATTAAGAAGTAAAAGTTCCAAACAAGGCATAGATGAAAAAAGTGTAAAAAGATGGAATAATGGTAAAAAAACTAAACAAAAGTAAGCATTGTTCAAATCTCCAGTGCAGCATGACAATGTACAAATTTATGCGATGCAGGGCTGAGCCAGCTCATAGTTTGCTCATGGACCTCTATTGACGCAAGGAGCGGAGGAAATGATTAATTTTGAAAAAAAAAAACACAGTTCACCTCAGAAACCTAATGTTTTCATTCAAAATTCTAAGCTTCTGAGAGCAGAAGAAACTCAAATCAGTGTGTAGGACCATTCAAGCTCTATGACACTCGACAGTTCACAAAAAGGCTCTTCCCGACCAAACATCTCGTCAAGAATATAGTCCTCCCCATTTATAATGATCTAAAAATCTACCTCGAAATCGCATCAAGATGCCAAGGAAGACATCATCACCACAACTTATTCATTCAACTTGCAAAAACAATCCCCCACCTCAAGCAGACCTATTTCTGCAACTTCCCCTCTCTGCCAAACCTTTCCATCACAGATCATCAAATCTCCTACATGAGAAAGCAACAAGTGAAAATCATCAAATTGCCCCGATTCTCTCTTACAGACTAGCACTTAACAATGACTCTCCTGTCTTAATTGAGATTCCCTACCACTCAAACATAACAAGTTTTAATAATCTTGATTAAAATCTACCTGTAGAATCGATACAAAATGCATACTCTAGCAAACATAACCGACACCTTTACAGTGTGACTAACTATTGACAAATGTAGCCTCTACACAAGTTTAAAAAGCAAAGCCATCCCCAGACTGAAGTAAAATAAAATTTCAATTTTTATGGTGAAACAACTCAATGTATCTTAAGGGGTAAGAATGACTACTTTAAGTGGAAAGCACATCTAGTGTGTATATTGTGTGTGACAGTCTGTGGGTATGTCTCTGTAATATGATTTTTTCTTATAAGCCATTTGTTGAAGAGAGTGATTCTTTATGAATCTATGATGGTTGCATTAAAAATGTAACAGATGGAAAGCATCATACCATAGATCTAATACAACGATATTCCCAGAGCAATATTTGTTGTGCACCCAGCATCCCACATGCAATAGAATCTGCTGCCTAGATTTTTCATATTTCTGGCCACATCAATTAGTTTGCAAACACATGCATACATAGGAAGGCAAACTTGATTAATATTCTGAACTTAGGCAATTAGTCCTTTATATATGTCATTTCATATGTTCAGATACATTTTAACTGCACACATAATACTCAACAAGTCAAGATCATTGAAATATTTTTTCATTTTTTCTCAAACAATTTGTACTCATAGATCCATAAAAAATAACTGACCAAAAACAAAGATCCATGGAGAAAAAAGGAAAATTATTAGAGATCCGGCACCTTTAAATTTTCAACTGGAATGCTCGGAATTCGGAATGGAGGACATTAACATAACATTAATTATTGCATGATCATGTAACAATTTTGGATTGCTTTCTAAGAAACATGAATACTATAAAACTACATGCAAAGCAAGTTTTGCAAGTGGTCAATAGTATCAGTATACATCAAATATATAAGTTAAAGTCACCCACCTCACTTATCAACCTTGGAAATAAACTGGTTGCTTTCCAAAAGTTTGAAGTAGAAGAGAAAAAACAACACCCACTCCCCCTCCTTCAAACACACACACACCAACAAAAACAAAAAAGCAAATGCCATGATCATATGGGCACCAGTTTTAAGGTGCTTGAACCAGAACTTGACAACCTTGGCTGTGGTCTGACAAATATGTTCACGTACAAGAACTCGGACCAAAAAAGCACTGAAATTTCACTTTATATATGCGTCGACTGGTCAAAGAGGTAGTAGGAAGGAACAAATTAATCGTCAGCAATGCAACTTTTATCATGCAGGTATATTTGTTCCGGTACATGAAAACTTCATCTTTTGAGGCAAAAATCAAGGTATACAATTGCAAAGACCCCAAAAGAATGGGTGGCAAAGGAATGACAACTATTTTCCTTTATATATTTGTTGGGGAATCAAGAATAAAAATAGCATGCCAAGTCAACCCTGCTAAGTCAATATTTTCTAACCTTTTCCCCTGTACAAAGAGCTTCAAATTTTTTTCTTGGGTTTCAAAAGTCAGTAAAAGGCTATACTCATTTGGGCAGTATGTTCCATTTATCTAAATGGTAAGACACCAAATGCCAACATTCAAAAGCAAACCCATACTCAATTGGCAGAAGATTTAATAGGCTTTGTTAGGAAGAAACAGAAATAAAAATACAAAAATCCTAGAGAAAGATCCATGTTTTCCAGAATAAAGCAATTATCACAATTTCTTCAAGGAAATTAAGTGACGCATATAACCAGACCACCAAGAAAATCATGGCAATATCATCTTTCCAGTTAGCAGCAGTAGATCCTTAAACCTAGCAAACCAAAGCTAGGGAAGTAAAAGAAAACAAAAAGAGAAGAGTTCAAAAGCTAACTTTCTTGCAGTAGACGCACTGAAGCGTCATTTGTTGCTCATTCAAAATCTGTGGATGAACATCCTCAATGATTTTCACAGAACAGTTCCTGTGTTCTACTTTTCAAAAAGAAAAGAAGGAAAAAATAAGAGAATATAACAAAATCTCATGATTGACTTAGCCCAGTTGTTGTGCTTGACACTAACCTAAACCTAGAGAAACTGCGCTTTAGATCTCCAGCTAAATGCCCTTTGCCAGTCTTGTGGAGCCGTTTCATAGTTCTCACATAAACTGGGAAGTTTGGCTTGAAACCCTTGCTCATCATTTCACTAAGAATCTCAAATGCAACCAAAAGATTTCCATGTTTTTGATGAAGACCTGCAAGCAAGCTGTAAATCATGTTGGTTGACTGCTCATATGCAACACTTGCACCAACAACATACTTATATGCCTCCTCATATTGCCTTGCATGGAAACAACCCTTGACAAAGGCAGCATGACTTGTTAGCCGAGGTTCAAGACCTCTAGATACCATTCTATCGAAAAACTGATTTGCAACATCTAACTTGCCAAGCCTACAGGCAAAATAAATAAATATTTCAAACGTCAAGGCATCAGGAGGAGAACCGCTTTCTAGCATTTCTTCGAGCACACTGCAAGCTTCAGTTGTCCTATCATTCATACATAAATAGCTAAGCAGGTAGTTGTATGTTTTGGCATTAGGGCCACAATCCAATTTTCTCATCTCTTTGATTAGACCGTGTGCTTCTTTAAAATGGCCTCTCCTGCAGTTCTCGCGAATCAGAATATTGTAGTAGGATACTTTCCTATCTGTGAGTTGTATCACAAACTTGCCCATTTCTAAGGCGTCCACTGTACAAAGCATCTTAATCAATGCGCAAATGCCAGAACCACGGCTTGACCCCCCAATTCCATTCAGCATATCTACCAGTCTTCTTATGGATTCCATGGTTGAAGCCTTACTCGAACCTAAAACAGGTAAAAACCCAAATGCCTTTTCGTTAAGGCAAATCTTTTTTGACTTGAACTCCTTTAACAATGAAATCATGGTCTCATAATCATCTAACCAACCACAGTTATCAATAATTAAACTACAAGCATCAGAATTGGAATAAAGCCCAGGATTCATATGCCGAACCCAACGAAAGAAATGCAAAGCAGATATTCTTTGGCAACTCAAGACCCGAAAAATCTCAGTAACGGATTTAACAGAAACACTTAAACCCATCAAGTTTAACTTGAACTCCATTTCATTCCCACCACTCCTAATGACCTCAATTATTTCAGAAACTCTTTTGGGATTCCCATCCCACTCAGACCCATCAAAAGCTTTCTCCCTGAACTCAGATTTATCAAAACAAGCAACACCCTTCTTCTTAGATCCTCTATTTTTATCAGAAACCACCGTTTCAAGTATTGTCTTCGGGGTACAGCCATTCAAAGACAACACGGAAAACCATCGAAATAAGTCTGCACAATGAGGTCTAAAGAAACCAGCACTAGAAACTGGGTATCTGTAACTAGGACTATACTTGTTATGCATAGAAAATGAATCTAAAGATTGATTAAAAGGTGGTTTTACTGAGAATTGTGAAGATGATACAGTCGAGAAATTGTTGGAAAGAGGATTCCTGTGAAGTGGTAGCGAATGGAAGATACTATTTAGAAGAGTGAGAGTTAGACAGGGGTTTAGGGTTTTGTTGGAGGAAGAGAGAGAACGAGAGAAGAGAGAGGAGTTAAAATTGGAGGTTGAGAAGTACCTGATGAGCGTGTTATTGGGGACGTTTGAGATTGTCATCTCAATCTTCTTGTTCGAGGCTGTTGTGTTGGTGTTGCTACCATCTGAGCGAGAAAACAGCACAAGAGAGTGGTTTTGATCGAATGTTACAAAACGGAGAAAAAAATGGATGTCACGCTTACACGATGACTATCTACCTATGTCATATAATAATTATTCGGGCAAAAAAGTGAGATATGCTTTTATTTGACATATTTTTTGATTATGTGTGTCAAAGTTCAATTGAACTTAAGATCTAAATACATACGACTTTACTTATCCGAACTAGTGTAAAATTTTAAAATAGTGATTGTTCAGGCGATTGTAACGAGTCTTAAGGTTATCTATGAGTTTTTTTCTATGCTTTGGAGTTCAAAGACTTTTAAATAATTTCTCAACTTATAGCATAATGGACTGAAACGTAAAAAAAACAATTGGAATGTGAAGCAACAAATAGATTAAATTTGGAAGATGAAACAATTACTATACTTAATATTAAAGGAAAGTAATAAAAGATCATTAGAGTGATGGGTTACAAGAAAAATAAAATTGTTCGGGAGTAAATATAAGTAAGTATGAGTAGACTGACTTTATGTAGAGTTTGTTGTGTTTAATCGTGGATCATTTTTTTGTGTCCTAGCATTTATTATTTATAGCGATGACCTTCAACAGTCGAAGCCATCTTTCTAGCCATGACTATAATAAATGGTCTTTCCCTCGAGAATTGTAGATGTGCGCTAAACTATCTCCAATTAACAGCTGATGATGTCACATCTCCTCACTTTTCTTAGATTCTTAGAGTCATACTTCCCTAACTGCTCTGTTAAACATGGACTCTCACAGATTCTTTCATGACCGTTGGATCTCTTCCAAGTGTAACCCTCTAATTTTGCTATTTTTGAGTGTAAACATTACCCCCCCCCCTAAACGATGCGTCTAACATTTTCGTATTCGAGGCCCATTTTGGCTTTTTTGAATTTAAGCTTTTGTTGCTACACTTGTTCTGCTTAGCTGTCATCCCACCATTAGTTGTGAAACTCAGGGATTGCAACCAATCTTTCACGTGTAATCCCTCGGTCTGTCCTTCATCTTTTCAGGTCTACATTAAAGAGCTAACATGCAATTCGTCCATATCTTTTAATCATTGTAAGTGCTCGTTCTTTGCGCCTATGTAATCTGTCATCAAACCTGCTATTTTGTCATTATTTTGACCTTCTTTTCTTCTTCTTCTTCAATGGATCTCCTAGTACTATTGCTTTTAAAACGACTCTTTTGCGAGTGTAAGCTACTCAATTCACTCTTCTTACTTTTAACCCGTTCTTTAATTCTTATTCTTCAAAAATGGCCCTTGGTCATGCTTTGAAAGAGAAGCCTCCAAACGAAGTTCGACGCACCTACCCTAACTCTCGTATGTCTCTACCTTTTAACTTCCAAGAGCCCCTTGAATGAGCAAGCTGACTTAGCGATAATCCTGCTCGTGCATGGAAGCCCCATTCCCTTGATTGGATATCATGGGTTGCTCATGTTAAGGTGGCCAAGAGTACTTTATGGCGTCGCCTTGACATTTATGACGCTATAGAACTAAGCATTATCATGATGCCTATTGTGCATGCAAGATCCTGCACAATATAAACACTAGAACAGATCTTTTCCATGGTGAATACATGTCCAAAATCGGGTGGTTGATCTTGCTAGTTGAACAGGTTGTGAGGGTCGAAGGTGGATAATCTATCATTGATATGAGTTGCCTGAATGATCCTAGAAGGTTGAAGGAGGTTCACAGAACAAAGAAAAATAGGTTAGAAGGGCGTCAGAGTGTTTTCCAGCGTATCCCCTCCAACGATCAAGTCAGTTCTTTGAGAGAGGGGAAGAAGAAAACATTGTATGATGGTTGAGAGAGGGTTAGTTGCGTACCCCTTTTTTGTGTTTGTGGACTATTTATACTTTAAAAACTCATCATTGCTGACAGCGTAGCTAGTAGGTAATCATTGGAGGTGGGCAACGTGCACACCAATTTCTATGAGTAATAATCTTATTCTTTACTGCTCGGGACCCCGAGCAACTAATACTTTCTCCTCGGTTTGCCGAACGTTTAATGATCTTCTCTCGGCGGGGGTGTATTAAATGCCCAAGCTTTGGGACATTTATTACCTTTCACTTTCGAGCTCTCATGCATTAAATGTTGTCTCATCAAGGGAAAGGTGCATTAAATACTTGCTTTCCCAAGTCATGTGTCAGCAAGGGCATTCTGGTCTTTTTGTCTCTAATTTGACACAATACACCACGTGCTCATTCCTCTTTGGTTAAGCCTTCTGCTTTCTTGTGCCTCTTGACACCATTTGAGTAAGACGAGCTCATGATGGCTAGTCTAGCCTTGCCTAGGCTAGTGATCTGTCCATAAATAGCCCTAATAGGTGCAAAAACGCCGACGCGAATAGATACCCCTCGGTGCTGAGGGACTAGTATGATTTAAGATCGATGTACCCAAACTGCCGAGGAATACGTGTCGGTCCATGGTGGTTTGGGGATCCTTGATCCCTGTGAATAGTATCCTCAGGGTAGGGGGTTAAAAACCACGAAGACGTGTCAGTATTAGAGCATATGTCTCCATTGACGCCGAATACACGTGTCATCATCTGGGAGTGTCTAGAAATGTCCCATCAACTGCCCCCCAACCTTCAATCTTCTGACGCCAAGGACACGCGTTGTAAGGAGACGAAGGGTTCTACAACTGCCCCAACCACGCCATCATTACTTCCAGCCATTTTCTTCTACTTAGGTGGTCGTGCGCATTAAATGCACCTCTTCGTGCTTCATGCATAATGATGGGGATGGGTACTATATAAACTGGCTCTCTCTGTCTCTTTCCCACACTTTTGCCATTTCGAACTCAGAGAGCTTTCACCTGAAAACTTCACCGGAGACCCCTTTAGTCACGTCGTCTACTAGTCAGTCGTCACCGAAGTTTAGACCAGCAAACACCCTCTTGCTTCTAAACCTTATGGAGAGAGGAACCACTCCAAGCCCTTCAAAAACCTTTGTTCGTGTTCTGGTGAGTCCTTGTATCTCCCTTCTTTCCATCTATCTGGGTTTGTTTTTTATTCCCCGGTAACCGGAGGTGTTTCTGGCTGTCATTGTGTGACCAACCCTCAGGAAACCCCTTGGGGATCTTCGTAGAAATTTTTTTTCCTTCCTCTTTAGTTTTTATCTTCTTTGGAGATGCCCCAACGTCACCCTATCACCAAGGATCCCCAGGCCAGTTCCTCAAGGCTAGGGAAGTACAAAGTGAAGGGAGACGAGCAGATCAATAGGTTTACGGCCCGATACCGCATTCCCCCAAACGTAGGTATAGATGAGTACGACCTAGTTTTGCATAACCGTACTCTCAGGGCCGAGAATGAGATGCCCTTTTTCACTAAGGCAATCATAGAGGGGTGGAATTAGGTTCCCCCTGCCTCTTCTACTCCTCCAGTTCTTCGCCCATTTCAACCTCTTCCTGGGGCAGTGTTGCCTTAACGTATTTAGGATAATAATGGGGGTCTTAGAGCTTAACAACCGTCTCGGGGTAAACATTGGACTCAACGATATCCTTTTTTGCTACTCCCTGTTCAGAGTCATGCCTTAGTAGAATTTCTACCTCAAAGTCAGGGATCCCTCCATGTACCTTGTAACTTACCTCCCTGACTCGGACAAAGCATACAAGGATGACCTTCTGATCTTTAGTGGATCCTAGCAGTGGGGGACCGGTCCCCAGTACAATGGTCTGATGTGCCCTTTTGAATGGAGAACGACAAGTACGTCGACTTCTCCGAGTCTACAATTTTTGTCCTTGGGATTTTTTAGAAGTGTTAATAACCTTCTTTCTTTCTTGTGCAGATGTCTCCGCCTGGGAAGTTGCTCCTCCCCCTCGGTCCTTGGTGAACTTTGCTGACCTCGTCACTATTTAGAGATTTGTTGGCGATGACAGGTTCGACTAGGCTGCTCACATTCTTCTAAACTACTCAATGGGATACAAAAAGTTCTCACAGATCCCCCAGCCTTTCGACCCTTTGCGATGGTCTGAACTCTTCGATCAGACTATGCAACAAGAGGGCCACCAGAACTTGGAGGAGAACCCCCGACAGGGCTACTAAGGAGGAAGTAGAGGGTGCACTTGAAGTTGAGGAGTCCGGGGCCAGAGAGGCTTTGGTTCCTTCACACGCCGAGGTGGGGACTTCTAGGAGAGATTCGTGGCCTGACTTCTGCATCCTTTAGTCTCTAGACGCAAAGGACGCCTTTAAGGTAGCCATGTCCCGCATGCTCCGCATAGATCTGAGATTCCTAAGGTAGAGGCAGGCCCTTGCCGCCAAGAAAGGACGAGGGTCAACTAGTAGCGCCCCATCAATAGGTACCAGTGCCAACCCCCTGCCTCCAAGGGCTACTGGTCAAGGTTAAGTGCGGGATCGAGATCCTCAATTCGAGAAGGAGAGGAGGACCAAGCAAAGGCAGGACGGCCCGGGTAGGGGATCCAGGGCCCCCTTCGCTCAACAACCAAGTGGGAGGGGGCCGTGGGTTACCCCCTTCACCTCAACAGTAACAGCAGTAGTAGAGGCAACAACAACAGCGGCAACAACAACAACAGTCGCAGAGACAGACTCCACCTCCCCCTCCGCAGATGGTAGAAGTTGTAGAGTGGAATCCTCGAGCCACTGATCATATAAATCGGGTGATCAGGGTCAATGATTCCATTCTACAGGACCCCCATATTGCCAACGCAGTGAGTGAGAAGCTCCATTTCAAGGCCGACATGGAGGCTCATAGGGGGCAGACGACGAACATGTTGTTCTGTTCTATCATTCAGAATTCTCTGGTGGTAAGTTCATCTTTGTTTCAGCCTTTTCTTGTCGTATCTGCTATAATTGACCAAGTTCTTTCCTTTGCAGGCCACCTAACAAATTTTCATAATCGCTGCGCGATATCATGCAGCCAGGATGGACCTCCAACAGACCCAAGAGCAGAAGGAGCCCTGGCCAGTGCTAAGG